GGATCGTAGATTAATCAACTAATAAAATGACTGTCAAATTTAATTCAATCAGACACCACCCTGATGACTTTTTCAACACAGTGAACATTGATCCTTCACCATTATAAAATGTCCTTTCAGAAAAGTGTAAGAGAGTCATTCAACGATGTCTCAGTTCATCCAACGAATGACGAGATGCATTCTCCTGAGTCTGGCTATAGTTCTCTTAGGTGAGTGACTATTTTATTGTATAAACACTCTCTTCTGCCAGACAGTTTGCTTAACATTTACAAGTTGCGGCTGAGTTACAGTTTTCTTTGTTATTACTACTTTTGCTTGAAGCTCTACGTTGCTCTGTCATGGTTGAATTGTTGTTTTGGTCCACCTTTCGAACAAATAGCCGCCTTTATAAACAGATAACAGTTCAAAGTTCCTCATCTGTGACTTACACGATCGAGCGCCAGAACGTGCTGGGCTGTTACAACAGCTTCCAGAAACTAAAACGTTAAACGATGATACGAAAAGCATTTGACAGATGAGGTGAAGATCGGTGCTAGATAGATATTGAGAAAGTTACACACCCGTGGACAAATCCAAACCGAACAAGCACAGAACAGAGAACGACTAATGAGTGCTTAGCCAGCAGTGAGCTCTTGCCGCTTATTCCCATTGCGAAATACCTATCTAACGATCATCATCTGTGTATCGTTGATTGTTAACGTAACCGAGGGGGATGTCAATACTGGAGGAACCGTAGAATGTTGTTGGGTTGCTCGAAGCTTCTGACTTTCAAGTTTCCGGGTTATTGCACTAGCCAAGAATTTCAGTGCTTGATCGGCCAAGCCACAGATCAGGAGCATCTAACTACTTTGGAAACCTTGAAAATTTAATTATTCAAATTCCGGATATGCTTTCGTTCTCAAAACATTCCCTTCCCAAGGTCCAAGTTATGTACTGCCATGCCTGCTAGCCACGTCAGTCATCGGATTTTTTTCACTTGAATGCCAGTTGAAGGCCATTTCTCCTTTCTGGTACTCCACGTGAACCAGTTCACTTCCTTTGCCTNGAAACTTGACGCAAATCCTCACTTCGGCAAAAAGAATGCATCAGAATTTCAAGCATTGAGCTGGTAGCTGTCCTTCTGTACGTTCCATTTTCCAGGTCGTGACCACCCCATCATAATGATGACCACAGTATCATAGCGGAGCCCTCCCCAGGTCATCTTCTGTTCTTTGATATCTGTGAAAGCGTCCGGAACTCCGAGCAGGATCTGACGATAACTTTCGATCAGGGAGAAGTAGGGTGCCGTGATTTCGTTCAATTGTGGCATAATAGCTCTTTGCTCCCGCATAAATCACTTTTCTTAATTGTATTAATCTGTGTAGACAAGTTACAGAGTGTATAGCAGTCGCATGATGACATAATCATGAATCTGGATCTGGATCTTTGGAGTTGTTAATTTTACACTTTGGTTTCCACGCGCGAGTGTTTTCATTCGTTGCAAAGGAACGACTTTAAACAGTATCCTTGCAGAAAGTTTCTCCAAACAATCTTGATGACAATCAATCGCTCATCCATCCACTGAATATTTGCAGAGATAAAATATGGTAGTCGTCGCTATGCATGGATAGTACTGAAGAATGATAGCTTACTGAGATCCGAATTTATCGCGAGTCGAGTAGTTCTTAATTCAAAAATTATTTCACCCATACATTAATTCGTCGCCCTCTAATCCAGTGTTAACGCCATTTGAGCAAATCTATACTAAACGCAGTTCACGATGTAGTGGCTTCTGAGTTTTCTCCCTAAGATGAATCTTTTAACCCCAATGGTACCACAAGCCCTGCAGGGTCTAAAAAGGGCATAGATAGAGCGCAATAAGGGCCCCAAAAGCGGCTTGGCCGTTGTACTTGGCCGATTTATACACCAAAGGCGGACGAGCTCTCACGACGTAGTAGAAGCTGCAGAAGTTGCAACAGCGCACTGTCGCACACATGTTGCAGCAGGCAGCTTACTGTAGCCATCTCTATGCAGCGGCACACGCAAATGGACAGCTCGTCCAAATACCCCTTCCATGCAATCATGTCGCCACCTTCTCGTCCCACCCCTCATTCCACGACTTTCTTCCTGAAGCTTTCTGAATGCCGTCGATTGCCGCATTCTCATCTCCACTTCTGCACTTATCTGAGTTATCATCGTCATAGGTAGCGATGGGCGAAGCATCAAGTTGGAACACAGGTTGCAACAAAAGCAAGACAATATTCGACTTGAAATATATGTCCGCGGTTAGGCGAAGCTTCTGCCCTACATTTTGTAGAGCTCATCCTCATTGTAGAACCTCCTTCAAGATCAAGACGAATCTTCGAACAACCAATCCATATCTAAAGCGTAGCTTTCTTTCAGTATCGTCTTCTGATCCTGTGTGCGATCTCGAGATTGAAGCAGGAGACTGTCGCGGAAGCATTCTATCGTAGGTCTCGCTTCTCATTCGTTCCTATGAGTTTCTTAGAGTAAATCAGCACCGCCAATATTTTCTTAGGTATCGTTGCCATATCGATCTCCACCTTGTCATGTAATTAGAATCTCAAAAGCTATCGCTTCGAGATTCCTTTTGATAAGTACTTGTTCTCTCAAAAAATGCACATCAAGTCGTAGGGAAGAGTGAAATAGATTCACGGACCTTCCTTACGTCCGACTGGGACTTGGGTGAGTCTCGGTTCGGGAGAAGTGCATGTACCGATACTGACCTTTTTGTGATATCCATTTGAATAAAATACAACAAATGTCCTATTGAGAGGGAATCAAAATTGTTTTCAATGGGCCCTTGAGTTTAACTTCCCATCACAATCAAGCCAGCGCTACAGAATCAGTGTGTAGTTGATTCAGGCAATGACTTGAGAGAACCACTCATGTAGAAGTAAATATTTTTTGTACTCTTAGGCAAGTCAGGGTATGAAATAATGAACCACCAAGGGGATGGTTTGTTGGGAACTGACGAGGGGCACGAAAGGCTTTTTGACCGAAGTAAGTATCCATCCGGACGGTAAGTGTGGTAGCGGTACCATGTTGTACATCACGGCCTACATGCTCCATTATGGAATAGGCTCTCATCATTTAAGAATGTCATCAAAGGATGCAGCAGCTCCCATCCATTATTTCTCATTTTTTGAGGTTTTAAGGTACGGCTACGACAAGGACAGTGGAACGTGTATACCCTTCGTTTACGGTGGTTGTGGAGGTAACGGTAATCGATTCAGTGAACCGGAGAAATGCGAGAGCGCCTGCCTAGGTGCTCCGCTACTTCCTGACTGATGAAAGGACCGTGCTTATATGTTACTCCAGTATTATCTACAACTTTTCAGCTCATCTGTTCGGAGCAATAACAATAAAGCTTTGCATTGACAGATTTGAGTATAGGTCATTGGAATTCCTACCTCTACATGATCACTTCATCTATGATTTCTGCAAAATACACCTGAGTACCATCGGAGGAACTGGTAATTTAGTCCTTTACCATACACGAACCCTCTGCCAATTTTAGCTTCTTAACGGATGGAATGTGAGTGTAGGAGGGTTCCATTAGAAGTATCACCGTCGTTGGCACTGACTGGCTCCAAAGTCAAACTTAAACGAAGATATGATAAACCACACATTGTCTGAGAATTAAGGGTTTCTGCCTTCTTTTGAGAACGTTCAGTTCAAGTTCGTAAATCGTGTGAAAGCGTGGAGGTTGTAGGTCTTAACAATCAGCTACAAAGACAGAGCCGATATTTGAATCAGACCCATTCACTGAGGGGTTTGAGGATAAAACCAGCCAATTCTATTCTAGCAGACAACTTGGAACTAAATATTTACCCAACCACAAAGGAATGGAAAGCCTGGTTGGTCTCAGATGCTCGGAATTTCATCCCCGTAGCATATGCGTGTTGGGGGCGCCACGCAGAATTGTTCCACCTCATTCCAATTCATTTATTATTTACATAAATACATCGGCAAAAAAGACAATGTGCACGTTTGGAAAACATTGTAAATTATGAAGCATTCAGCGACGTCAAGCCTTCCACATAGTTTGCCAAACTTATTTTGATTTATACTGTAGCTTCCTCTGATGTTCAAGAGAACGAATAAAATTCATGCCACAGAGTTTTCCCCGAAAGTTAGCCGAAACATAACGTCGCCCAATCGTTAGATGAAACTCATGCCGTTGATGTTAGGCCCTCAACATACACTTTCTCGGTCCTCAAGATTAGAAAATTCAAAAAAAATGTTCCTTTGAAGCGAGAATTAGTACTTCCGTAGATATTTGGTAAACTATCAATAATTAATTAGCATTTGGACTCATGCAGCATGCGAACCATCTTAATTCGAATGTTCTATAAATACTTTCTATTAATCTTCACAAAGGTTATTAATTATCCTGCAACATCTGAGCTTTGATCATAAAGGTCTCTTCCCGACGGTGCACATGCCGAACCATTGACGTACGAACCGATGATTTCGTACTTCTCAGTAGAGCAACCTTCTATGGGATGTATTTCTGCCAGGACTTTCTGAAATGGTGCTTTTTAAAACATTACCCACTTAGAGATTTAGTTCATGATTGGCGTGGGTTTTAGAGATTACAGAAGTTGTCTTTGGGAAGTAACACTGCCCGGTGGGACATCGTCTTATCGTCTTAAAAAGGTAAGGGTTTAAATCCGCTAACCCCTCTCCACTCACTCC